ATCTACCTTACGTTTGGTAGTGTATATGTGTCCATGCCTCTCTCTAGCTTTGTCACTGGCTTTACTTTCATTTCAGGGAAATATCGAGCAGCAGACGAAGAAAAAATTAATCCAGCTCCTTACTTAACTTGTGACAGCTTCCCTCATGCCGTGGACCACATTCTGCAGCATCTACTGTGAACCATTGTGTGAATCAGAAGCAACTTGAAACACAGCTTTTCATTGTCTGGAAAGAATCCCTCAACAACTTAATGACAGACAGAGACCACTCAGCCCTGGTCACCATTTAACCCTCTTTTATTGGGCAGTAATTAGAAAGAAAGGTATTGAATTGCAGCCAGACACCAAGCCTGGCTAATCCCTTTTGGTTTTTTTCGTAAAAGAAGATGAGATCCAAAGAAAGGGAAAGCTGAGATTTTGTGCCATTCCTTTTAAAATATTCATCAGGTTAGCGGGCGCTGGGGAAGAGTCTCCTGCGGGGAGCCTGTTCTCTGCTGTCTCCTCGCTGGTAAATTGGAGGGGTTCAGACTCTGAATAAAGTTGAATGGTGTTTTTTAAGTTACAGAGTACTGCACTGAAGGGTGCGTTAGGCTGTATGTAGTTTTAATATTGAGTTCAACTGTGAAATCCATCAGAAGTGCCAAGTAGGGTACAGGACAGAAGAAGCAGAATAAAGTGTCCTTTAGCCCAAGTGAAGGAGTGAATTTGCTTTAACAGATGTTGAAAACCAGATTAGCTACTGTATTATTCCCAGCACGGGTGACTTCTTTTTCTCTTGGTTAGCCAGAGATGAGTAGTTTAAATTTAGAACCTGGTTTTAATTTAAAATAATATTTCCATTAATAACCTATTCATTGCAGATACCTATTATACTGTGTAACAGTTGTGTTGGAAATTTTATGTAAAATTAAAACTATCAGTATTTTACAGATGTTTTAATTAGACATTGTTATTAACAGGAACAGTGCAGAAACTAAAATCAAGCCTTTAATGTCTTATAGACCATGCATTTTTGAGGCTAGTGTCCACCCGGGTCCTATTAACTGTACATTTGCAAGATTTCATTATTTTTGCCTCTGACACTATGGGAAAAATCTTTCAGAAGCTATTGGGACAGATTCAAGCTTTTATGTACTTGGTTACTACGGCTGTAAAATGAAATCTCGTCTTGCAGCATGGATTCTTCTTCTCATGTTAAACCCACCAAAATGAAGGGGACTAAATAGGTAATGATTTTCTTAGTGCATTTGCATACTGTGATGATCCTGGGCCTTTGCCATTGTTTTACTGGGCTCTTGGGCACTGGATTATTAGCTTGTAATTGTCCATTATCATGGTGCTCACCTTATTGAAGCACACAGCAGTGTTAATGAGCTTTGGGTTTTGATGCTTGTTTAGAGATCAGCTTGGTCTTGGATGGGACGGAGCAAAGCTAAATAAATGGCCGCTTCCTCTACTTCTGGTCGTTTGGTGAACACTTTTCTTGTTTTTGCAGATGCCCCAACCTAGTCCTTACGATCCTAGAGTGCAGAAGACAGATGTGCTAGGGCACCACCCCAGATCAGGAGGAGGAGTGCAGTGACCGGGGCACAGAGCAGGGAGCCTGGCCAGCACTTCCCTTCGGTGACCTGGGGCAACTCCCCTAGCCACTCTGCCTCCTTTGCCTTCTCTATAAAGTGGAGATACCCCACCACGTAGGCTTGTTGTGAGGGTTAAATGCACAACCCATATATCAAGGACTTTAAATAGAATCGGACGAATGTTAAGTGTTGCCTGTTTGCGATGATGACACAGATGTAGCAGGAGTACCTGCATATAACAATCCGGAAAAGGTTGGTAGAATTCATCTCTACAGTCAGTTCAGTGGGGAAAGTCCTCCTGAGAATTTAAAAAAGAGAGACATTCTACTACATTTAAATTCCTTCAGGCCGGAGCCACACAGAAAAGCCCAGCGTGCAGGCAAGAGGGGCTGCTGGGCGTGTTCACCAGTGGCCTGTTCCCCGGCACCTGGGTCACTGATTCCTTGGCCCAAGCGTTATCAACGGTTTGCTAGCTGCTGTGTGCGAAGTGCCTGCTAGGAAATAAACATTTAAGAGAAGGACTTTGCCTGGAGGGCCCTTACTAGGTGAGGAGCTAAGGAGAATACCCAAGGCAGTGTGCAGACTCTGTGTCTCCCTTCTCTGTGACGTGGTCCTGACCACAGGATGGAGTGAAGTGTTCCCTCCCTCCTTCGTGCCTTGGAGCAGTTGTTAGATTATACTTAGGTCTTCAAATGTCTCTTCTCCCCACCAGACAGGACTCTGTGCTACAACACAGATGGGCACTCGGGCCGTCACCAGACAACTCAAAATTAGCTGTAAATATTATAGGAATTGAATGCTAGAGGGTATAGCTGTGGGTAGGGAGGAGAAAATGTTTCATTTTAGACTTGCTGCTCATAGGGGAGGCCCGTTAGGCACTTAAATAATGGCTCTGATGCTCTGGAGACACGTTAGAGCTAAAGCCAAGCTGTAGACATCACTGATGGGCGAGTGGCAGGAGGGGGTAATCCAGCTGCGTGTAACGAGCCAGTCAAGAGAAACGGCTGCTCTACTTTCCTCCATTCTCGCTTGGCCCTCTAGGCCATTAAAATCTTAGTTGGCTATTTTATTTACTTAATAAACATTATATAGGACTTTCTAACTGACCTGTCCACGGTATGAAGTTCGTGAGGATAAATAGAAATCTTGGTTTAGGTCGAGGTTACTGTAAACATTCCCAGCTCAGCTGGTTGGTTTGCCTTGGGCTTCATGGAGGAGATTGAATAACCGAAGTACGTAAAGGACTTTATTTTCCAGCCATTACATTTCAGGGGCTGTCTTGTGGTGCTGACCCCAAGGATAGTGTTGGTGCCAGCTTTACTATAATCCTGTCCTGGCCCCAGAAAAGGGACCAAGTGAATCTTAGGACTTGAAAGGGCATTAGAGAATGCCCATGGTCAGGAGGTGGTTATTGGGCATCTCCTGTGAGCTGGGCGTGGAGGAGGGCGAAGGACCAGTCTGGTGGGGAGACAAGGTTGTTGCACCCACTTCACTCTCACACGTCCAGAATCAGCTAGTTCTGCAGTGGCTCTACCTACCCACCACTCTACCCGAGCGGAGCGGATTGTAATGCCTGGAAAGGAGAAGGGGGCTGGCCCACCTCCCTAGTGACGGTTCCATCAAACACCTGCGGTTGTGGGTATCAGAAACTGCCCTGGAGTGACTGTCGTCACCTCACTCTTAACCCCACACTGAAAAATTACAGGAGCGAGTTGGACAGGAAAGTCTATGTTCAGTTGGTTTGGATCGGTGGTGGTTCATGTTGGATGAAACTGAAGTCCTTGGGCACCTATAATAAAGAACTTTTAAAACTGCACTAATCTATTTCATTAAAACACTTGCCTTGGGCAGCAGAGTACTTCGTCCTGTTAGCAGTTGTTTGCATAGAGCCATGTTTGCGTTATTGAGTTTCTTTGACATAAGTCAAAAAGGCCTTTCCCGGGGTAAATGCACAGGGCCTTTGCTGAGCTGACTTTGTGTTACACCAGCCATCAAGACCTACTACCCAAAGCATGCTGCTGTCCTTGAGAGGCGAGGTGCCAGAGCACCAGAAATCGTTTATCATAATTCAAACCACATCTGTTAAGATGAAACAGATTTTGATATCTTTTTCCTGTGTTTAATGTCATACACATCTCAATGCCTGTTTGTTTCACTGGCTGATGTGCCTGAGAAAACCAAATATTTATTTTATTTTAAATTATTTATGTATTTATCTTTGGCTGTGTTGGGTCTTCGTTGCTGCGCACGGACTTTTCTCTAGTTGCGGCAAGGGGGGGCTACTCTTCGTTTTGGTGCACGGGCTTCTCATTGCAGTGGCTCCTCTTGTCGCACAGCACGGGCTTTAGACGCACGGGCTTCAGTAGCTGTGGCGCACGGGCTCAGTAGCTGTGGCTCACGGGCTTAGTTGCTCCACGGCATGTGGGATCTTCCTGGACCAGGGCTTGAACCTGTGTCCCCTGCATTGGCAGGCAGATTCTTGACCACTGCGCCACCAGGGAAGTCTCCCAAATATTTTTAAATGCCCTTGGGAGTAAATCACTAAGGAAGACAGCAGAACGTAGCTCCAACTCCTAGATACGTATCTTCTAGTTGGGAAATTGAGCTATCTTCAGCTAGTTCTGGCCTCTCCAGTTCGCCACAGTCCCCCACCTCTTCCTTGTCTTCCTTTACCCATGTGTAACTATATTCCAAGTTCCTATAGCATTTGAGTTACGACCTCTGCTTTAGAAGAAAATACCACATGTGGAATTAGGTTCAAATTTCCACCAACAACTAACGGGCCAATCTCCTATATCCCTATAAACTTAGATATACTTTTAGTCTACTTTTAAAAAACTAACCAGAGGCTCTAAACAGTACATTAGTCATGTATTAGTTGATCTCTCTCAAAGCCCCACTAAAAGAAGAGGGAAGGAATAAAGATGTTATAAACCAACAAGGACAACCCACAAGAGAATGGTAGAGAAGACAGCAGTGGATGACAGGGTTCAGTAATTCAGGAGATGGAAAGAGGAAGATGGAGTGTTGATAACTAAAATCAACGCAAAGAAAAAAACCAAAATTCATCCTGTAGATTATCACCTCAAAGACTCAAGGCTTGGAGACACTGGGTAGAGTGGTCGTGAGGTGTGAGGCAAGGTTGAGAAGCAAGGAATTGGTTTAAAGCTGGGAAAATGGCTGGAGCCCCAGAAACCCTCCCCACCCTGAGCAGCCAGATACGCACCCTCAGCCAGGCAGGAGAGGGTGGGGGGGTTACGCTCTGGAGAAGTGGAACTGTGAACGTTCAGGCCTTGGAGACACTGGACATGGTGGTGGGCCAGGCTGAGAGGCAGGGCTGAAAACGGGATTAGGGAAATCTCTGCTTGTTCTACAGCCATTGTCTGGTCCCCTTCCCCTTACAACCAGGACCAGAGAGCGTGGGAATGGAGTTGAAAGTTAATCTGATATGTTTGGCCATTTAGAAGACAATACTGATGGATATCGGACAGATATGAAAATGTTGCCCCAAAAATTAAGAATAAATAGAAAATTAAGCAAATGAAAACAATGAGGCGGTTATTAATTCCAAGAAAGACAAAACTCAACAAGGAAATGTAATCCTAATCCACTAGTTGGCTCTTCATTGAACAATGTACAGTGAACAATATCATAAAAATATTGATTATTGAGTTAACCTAAAACTGTAGTAAAACTTCGGGGATGATCAGGGAAAGACGTGTGTGGTAGGGATGGGGCAAAGGGCTGAAAAGGATATATTTCATTTCATCCAAAGCAGGAAGTCATTAGATAATGTATAAAACTGATAAGAAGCCACCAAAATAAAGGCATGACCTAAAAGCATATGTGTGTGATCATTTGTAGACAAACTTTCCAAGGAATGAGGAGAGAAGGATGGACTATGTGACTGAATGTACAAAGATGAATTTGGAGATTCTTAAAAGGAATGGAGGGAGGATGTGGAGGTGGGTTTTGGAAGTGGAAGGTTAGTTACCAGTATGTGCTGGGAGGGATGGCCAACCACACTTACCTGAACGGAATCAGGAACTCCAGAGCAGTAAGCTAAAAGGGCCCAACCCTATTGTCACAAAGCATGCTGTCCACGGGAGCCCTCCTCTGCCTGTTCATTCTTAGGTACACATATAGTGCACACTTAACCTGCTTTCCAACCACAGCAAATTAGCTATTATTGAGGTTCCATCCACTTGAGATTTTATGAAATCAGAAAGGGTGGCAAAGGCCGCAAGCAAATGGACTAACAGCTATAAGAAATGTCAGCTGACAGCCTGACAAAGAAAATAACCCAAAAGCACAGACGGCAGATGTTGGAAATTGAACGGCACAGCAGTCTAGGCCATTGAGTTTAGAGACCTCCATGTCTGCATATCGGCAGTGCTCACAGGGTGACCTAGTGACCATGAAGAAGTTTCAGCTGAGCTTCTAAGATGAAATGTCTTTTTGTTTCTTTTAAACTCATTCAATTTGACTACATTTTCCATAAAATGATATTTTAAGAGGCATCTGAGAATATTCTATTCAAAACAATCAAAACCCCAAATGTTTTTGTTTAAAAGGGTGAAATACTTTGGACTATTTAGCCCAAATGTCCCTTTTCCTGGAAGTGTTTTCTTCTCTGGAGGAGTCTGCCTTGCAGGGATGAAGAAAACAAGGCAAGGGAGACAACAAAAGGTGACCGTAGGAAAATTCTAAGCAGGGGGAGGGGTGGCATTACTTAGTGGAAGCCTTCAAAATTTACCAGGAGTTGAAAGTAGATGCCTCAGATTGTGGGTTTCTGAATGAGATGTTTCTAGCTGTTTCCAACCCTGTAAGGAGATGTGGAGGAGCCTAAGCGCGGGGAAGACTGTTCTAGAAGCTCAGGTACCCCATCCTAAGTTTTGGATCCAATGAGGAGCTGTGGCAATGGAAAGAGAAGGGCAGAATACACAGGATGTGAGATGTGAAGATGTTATTAGGGGCCAGAACTCAAAACACTGCAACTGGTACGTAGTGATAGTGGGGTGCTTGTTACCAGGGCTATTAGCTCATCTCCAGAGATGGGCCAGTGATATTCCTGAGTGGGGCTAGTCTGGTAGGGGTTTGCTCTGCTGATAAAACTGACTGGAGTCAGAATCAGGGAGGGCAGATGAGATTCAGAATATTGTCAAGAGAAGCAGATGCTCTCTTCCTTGCTCCCACCCTTATCCACCCTTGAGCTGTCAGCTGCCAGATGGTCTGTCAAGCTTAGCTTCTGATTGGCTCCCCAACTTAGAACCACCCTCTGCATCCCAACACAACTTTCCTTACCACATCTTTTTCAAAATGAAAATGCCAGGGCTTCCCTGGTGTCGCAGTGGTTGAGAATCTGCCAGCTAATGCAGGGGACACGGGTTCGAGCCCTGGTCTGGGAGGATCCCACATGCCGCGGAGCAACTAGGCCCGTGAGCCACAACTACTGAGCCTACGCGTCTGGAGCCTGTGCTCCACGACAAGAGAGGCCCCAATAGTAAGAGGCCCACGCACCGTGATGAAGAGTGGCCCCCGCTTGCCACAACTGGAGAAAGCCCTCGCACAGAAACGAAGACCCAACACAGCCAAAAATTAATTAATTAATTAATTAAGAAAAAAGGCTGCAATAGTAAGAGGCCCATGCACCGCTGTGAAGAGTGGCCCCCACTTGCCACAACTAGAGAAAGCCCTCACACAGAAACGAAGACGCAACACAGCAAAAATAAATTAATTAATTAATAAACTCCTACCCCCAACATCTTTTAAAAAAAAAAATGAAAATGCCAGTTCACAAATGAGGAACACTACAAGAAATTATTCATCTAAATTTTATGGGATCTCATTGTGAGAAAAGTCTCCGTTGCAAGACCTCATAGCACACATACCTGTAATTGGAATCTTCAATATTTTGCTGACATCGACCATGAAAATATATATTTCCAAAATGGTACAGTTGTCCAAATTAATCCAGTCTTCAAGAATAATTTTCTGTTTTCTATTCCAAGCATAATGTTCTTCTTTCACTTACACTAATTAATGAGGAGGCCTCTGTAGTTGTCTTTGTGGCCAAGTCAGGGTAAATGTGGTTTCACACAGACTCGAACTCACTTTGCCAGGCTGAGTATCTCTGAGTCAGATTTTTTGCTGAAGGCTTGGTGTGGGCCAGCACATCCAAAAAGTCAGCAGTGGTCACTGTATCCAGCTGGATCCCAGGTAAACTGCTGCTCTCTAGATTAAAACACAAGAGGAGCAGCACAACAGTCTAGCTAATGGTGATCAATGCTCTTGAAACGTTAATAGACCTTCTTTCAAGACAATGCACAATGCAGCATTCTTAATGGTTAATGCAGCAACAGGCAAGACTGAAGAGGGCTGGGGAAAAAAGTCTTTAATGTGCAACTCAGCCCCTGAAGCCCATACACAAAATGTGACTTAAATGTATCATTATAAAGTGTTATTTAATATTTATATAGTGCCACAAATGGATCCAGCCCAACATAGTGTGCCAGCGAAATAAAAGCCCGAGCCCTAAGGAGTTTATCGTCTGGGGACAAAGTTGATCCGAAACAGAACAGCAGAGGAGGAAGGAGTTGGGTGCAGAAGGAGGATTTTTGACCAAAGAATGAGTGCCAGTGTAACAAGCCACAGAGAACAGGGGCAAGGTGCCACCTGCTGGTGAAAGCCCAATTTTTAAAAACAAATTTCTCTCCCAGAGCACCTTGGCTGTCATCCTCACCATACCTGACTGCTGATTTTCAAGGGCATTGAAGATCTTCCTCACAGGCCGCATGGCTGCTTCCCTGCAGACTAGCTTGATGTCCGAGCCCGAGTAGCCCTCCATCTCCTGAAACAGCCGCAAACCCAGCCATTAGGCAGCAGGCAGAATGCTGGTGGTGGTTACATTCTTACGGGCAGGACAGGGTGTCAGAGCCCCGTTTGGATTCTGTATCCGTCACCCATGGACACTATATAAAGATTCCCAGATAAATAGTGTTTAGGGGGAGAGAGGCTGCTAACGTGTTTGGATAACCTAAGGATCTGGGCCACAAACAACTTCCTAACACCATCCAAACGTAGGTGGTGAGATGCTGGTGACGACTGGCCCACCCAAGCCAGCCTAATGGGGCCCTTGTGCCCAAATTCAAGGATGGCAAAATTTGGTAGACACTTCTGTTCTTGTAAATAGGATTATAACCTGCCTTTAAGGAACCTCAGAGAACATCACATTCAAGTGTCCTCTTGAGGCAATGACACCAGTGGGCCTGGGGGTAACATGCTTTTCCTTTTGTGAAAGACTTGCATTTAATCATCACAGCAATCCTCTATGGCCTGTTACCCATTTTACAGATGAAGAAGCTGAGGCTCAGAGAGCAAGTGACTTCCTTGATGGCACACAGTTAATAAGTGGCAGGGCCAGAATCTGACCGTAGGTCCTCTGAGTCTAAACCCTATTCCACTTTATCACATCTCTGCTTGAATGTTCCCGAGGGACAAAGAGCATGGTCTTTCATGAAGGAGAGGCCCGTTGCGCTTGTTGGGGCAGCTTGGATCTTTTCTAAGTGACTCGAGGCTCCGAACAGCTGAGAAGACGGTCACGGGGCGGCCCCTGGGCCTAGGCGCCTCCCCAGGCAGCTCACCCTGCTCAGCAGGCTGTACTCCAGCTCCGCGCGCAGCTCCAGGGCACAGCTCCTGCTCACGGGCGGCAGCCAGTGGTGGATCATGGCCTGCCTGGCCTCCTGGCTTGGGAGGTCCACCAGAATCCTCTTCTCCAGGCGCCGCAACATGGCACAGTCTAGCTCCCTGAGTCACGTCCAAAACACAGGAACTGGTTGGGGCAGTAACTCACTTCTTAAGCAACAACTATATTTGAAGAACAAATTTAGCAGGAACCAATCCTGCATCTTAACTGTTACTCTACATCTATGTCTGAGTGGGTAGGACCATTACTTCATGTTGTTTGGGAGAAACAAATGGTTAAAAAGAAGAAAAAAAGAAAGGAGAGATAGGGAGGGAGGGAGGAAGGAAGGAAGAAAAAGAGAAAGAAAGTATACATCCCCCAGATACCTCATGTGAAGGAGGTGGTTTTAGGTGACTTAATTTGAGGGGGAATAAATCCAGCTAACACCAACCAAACGTGAGCATTCCCACTGCAGTTGTAACATCAATTATTCAACCTGACCCTGCCAACGAGTACATTATTCCTGACATAACTTGGGCACTCTGGGAAGTGCGCTAATTCTTCAAAAACTCTCATATTTTCTGGAGTGAATGACTATCTCACTCCATTGCTCTGGTGAAGTAAAGTGCGAATGCTCCTTCCTGGGCGCCCAGTGCAAATGTGGCCCTTTGAAACACTCATTCCTGGCCTCCCAAAACACTGTCAGGCCAGGTTTATGCACTTTGCATCTGCAAGCCATTTCCTTATATTTCTTAATATAAAAATTTCAAGCAAATAGAAAAGTAGAATAAAACAACAAATATCCACATACCTACCATCTTGATTCAACAAGTTAACATTTTGCCATATCTGCTTCATACGTATTTATCTATTCTTGTTAAATTATTTCAATGTAAATTACATCATGAAACACCACCCCCCAATGCTTCAGTATGCATTTCCAAAAAAAGGGACATTTCCTTATATAAGTATAATACCATTATGACACTAACAGAATTAACACAGATTGAATAATATGTCTAATGCCCATTCCATAGTAAAATCTCTCCAATCACCCCCAAAATACCTTTTACAGTTTTCCCAACCAACATTCAATCAAGGATTATGCACTACATATGATTATGTCTCTTAAATCTCTTGTAATCCAAAGCAGTCTCCTTGCCTTGGCCCCTTTTTGAATAGGTAAGGCTAATTGTACGATGTCCCACATTCTGGATTCGTCTGATGTTTTCCTCATGGTATCAGGTAACTGGTTCCTGTATCTCCTGTCCTCCAAGATGGAAGTTAGACCTCAAAGCTTAATCAGAATCAGGATAAACATTTTTGGCAAGTATATTTCATGGATAATATGTTTTCGCATTCATTACATTGGAATCCAAGGTTGGTGTGCCTCACTGCTAGTGATGTGATGTTTAATTACTGAGATCATCTGGTGACCACAGCTCTCTTCACTGGACGATCTCTCAAGCATCTCTTTGTAAGGGGTAAATATTCTACATACAGTACTTTGGCACCATGGGAATACCCCTTTCCCCATCCCTTTCAACTAGTGGTTTTAGCATCTGTTGATGATCTTTAAATCAACTGTTTCATGAGAGTGGTGCAAAACGGTGATTTAAAACTTTTTTCCATTCCAAATGATTATGTAGAATGATCATGTAAAGTAGAGCTTTCCCTCATTAACTGGGGCTCTTTGGTTACCTTGAGTTACCATTCCTATTAAAAACAGATCATTTTTGAGTGTGAGTTTGTGAACCCTTTTTATGTTAAAATTTCAAGCTCCTAGACAGGAGGGAAATATCTCTTTGATTTTCTAGCACAGAAATTAGGAAATGCCTGTGTGTTGGTCTGGCTTAGCCGATAATAAAGAGTAACAGTGAAAAGCATCATCACCAGATTTTCTCACTCATAAAGATACCGAGAATTTCCAAAGCACCCTCCCTTTTTTCTTATTCTGAATCTATGTCATGATATTTCCTTTAAATTGAAAACATGAAAATACCCTTCCAGGGAGCATATCTGAATCCTAAACCGGAGCGACCAGGTTTCTTAAAAGATTGTGTCTTTTCTTTACCTACTATTCCTCCCGTCCTGAGCTGAGAATCCACTCCAGGGCTGCTTTCCCGGCAATAAAAAGTACCTATTTCTTTTTTGCATTTGCTTTGTTCTTTATCAGCTTCACCCTGTTGAAATTCATCTCATCAGAGACAGCCACCTGCACAACCACATCCCCTCTCAGGGCCAACATTTATATTCCAGACACAGGGTTGAGGGAACTTTGCAGAGCTCTAGGAAATTATTTTTTACGTCTGAAATATTAATAAAAGCTCGTGCTTAAATAGCACTCACCAGGTGGCACGTACTGTTTCAAGCATTTTTCAGATATTAATTCTCAGAACCTACCTATGAGGTAGGTAATATCTTTGTTTAAGATGAGGAAACTGAGGCATAGAGGTCGAGTAGCTTGCCTGAGGTCAAGGCTAGGGAATGGCGGCCCTGAACTTGAACCCGAACAGTGAGACTCTGGAGACTGTGCCTCAGTAACTGGCCTGATACTAGCACAGTAACAGCAGGGAGACCCCAAGTCACATCACGGTGAAATCTCAGAACCCTGAGAACGAACAAAGGATCATAAAAGCTTCCAGAGAGGAAAAACAGGTTGCATCCAATGAATGGAGAATAAGATTTCTCATCATCAATGTGAGATATTAAAAGAAAATAGAGCAATCAAAATTCTGAGGAAAAATAATTATTTATAACTAGTTATTTTTGGCTGCGTTGGGTCTCTGTTGCTGCACGCGGGCTTTCTCTAGTTGTGGCAAGCAGGGGCTACTCTTCATTGCAGTGTGCAGGCTTCTTATTGCAGTGGCTTCTCTTGTTGCAAAGCACGGGCTCTGAGCACGCGGGCTTCAGCAGTTGTGGCACGTGGGCTCAGTAGTTGCAGTGCGAAGGCTCTAGGGCACGCAGGCTTCAGTAGTTGTGGCACGCAGGCTCAGTAGTTGTGGCTCGTGGGCTCTAGAGCGCAGGCTCAGTAGTTGTGGCGCACGGGCTTAGTTGCTCCATGGCACGTGGGATCTTCCTGGACCAGGGATCGAACCCATGTCCCCTGCATTGGCAGGTGCATTCTTAAGCACTGTGCCACCAGGGAAGTCCAGGAAAAATAATTTCCAGTGTAGAAATCTGTATCTTGATCAAACCATCAATTAAGTGGGAGGATAGAATAAAGACATTTTCAATATGCAGAGCCTAAAAAATATTACCTCCCATGTACCCTTTATCGGGAAAGTACTAGAGGACCAAAGGGAGAGAAACCAAACCAAAGGGCCACATGGGCTCCAAGAAACGGAGGGTCTGACAGAGAGAGAAGGAAACCTCCAGGATGACGCAGGGGGTGCCTAGGGTGCAGAGGACAATCCGCTTATTTTGGAGAAGGAGAGAAGGCTCTGGAAGATGTGCCTCCAAGAAGATAAACTTGACTGAATACCTGGTATGTCTGAGTAAATCCAAAGCTGTTTTAGACAGTTAGCAGAGAGATGGGCCTCGATTAGTGGCAGGAGGAGGTGAGTGAGGGGGGACGAAAGGAGGGGGTCAGGGAGATATAGAGAAGAGACACCATTAGACTCACATTTAGGAATTCGGTCCAGCAACATTGCCCACCCGCCAAGTGTATTGTCACTGCTGAGTCTCCGATACACAGAAATGAATATGACAAACTCCTTACTTCAATGTAAATAATAGGCAATAACTGGGAGGTTTGGGCCTTGGACTGCAGGAATGTTGGTCCTGTAAACTTTAAAAATGAAAAAAGACTTGGGAACCTGAAGCTAAAACCAGGAAGGAAGAGAGAATAAGCTGGGGAAATGGCAGTGCTGGGTTGATGAGCAGTTGCCATATTTTTCCCCCCAAGGCCTTTCCTTGGACCAGCTGCCCCTCCTGAAAGGGCAGGGGCTGCAGAAGGAAGGCTCTTTGGTGGGAGCACCTCTGGTCTCTTCATCCCAGCCAGGGGGACTGCTTATTGAAAGGAAGACCAGATACCCGAATGCCCTAGGAGAATGCAGGCAGGCGGAGGGAGGTGGGAAAACAATCCCTCACTATAGATGATTGTATTGATCAGCTAATGCCCTAAGGCACGAGATTTACCTCAGAACTGCTTGTGGGCACAAAATAAGTGCAACTCTCTGACAGCCAGGCCTGATTAATGCACTTTTAATGACATCAATAATTATAATCATACAAGGGAGGAAACAAAGGACAAATGGAATGTACCCAGGAATCATTCTTTATGCCAATATATTTACGTGAAAAAATTTAACCTGCGGCAACCAGAAAACACTCCCTTTAGCTGCTACATTTTGATTTTCACACCCAAGTTATTCTGTTCTCACATCTCCTTCATCTTGGTCATTTGGTACTTCCATCACCTCGAAGGTCAAAAGCAACCAGCAAGAGTGACTGTGACACAGTGAGGGCTCACAGACCTCACAGCCTGGCCACTGGACCGGTGCCCGCTGCTATATACAAGGTGGCAGCGCCCACTGGTCACCTAGACAGCTTGCATGGGCCACGAGGCCTTGCACTTGAGCACCTGGGCTCCCGCGCCAAATCTTCGGGGCCCTTCCTCAGCCCCTGGCATGTCTCCCCTGTTAAACCATGTTGTTCCTGGGATAAATGATCATTCCAAATTTTACAGAATTTGGAAATCAAACTTCATTCTCGATTGTTCATTCCATAGTGAAAACATTAAGTTCAAACCATCTCAGTGTGACAAGAGAAAAGCAACCTTCAGTTTTGTAGGCAAAGTCTTTGCAGTATGTCCCTAACCAACATGAAGTCAGAGATCGTGGCAATCCTTGAAAAGCAGATTCAGGAATTGTATTCTTTGGTAGGTGACAGGGAGTCAATGAATAAAGCGCTGAGGTTTACTTTGTCTCCTGCACTGAGCTCTGTGTAAGTTGACTCCTACCTACACTTCCCACCTGGGCCAAACTGCTCTGTCGGCCGTTATCTGAATCTACATTTTGCCATCCTAGTTGAGCATGTACTCAGGTCATTTTCTTTGCTTGTAACTTCCAGTTGGTCTACCAAGAGCCAGGTCCTTTTCACAGGTCCAGTGCAAGTGCTC